TGAGACGTGACTGTTCCAGGCTTGTAATCTAACATTATTGTTATTGGACAGAGCCGGTGCCAAATTGGTTTTGGAATGTGAGATAATGAAGTACATTTATTGGCGCTACTTTGATGTTCTGCCAACCTGGCTACTCCGTACATAATAATATGTATTTATAAATGACCTAGTAAAGTTACTTAGGAGTGCTGTATGCTTAATGTATGGGGATTATGAGATAAATTGTTCCGACAATCGTTAAAGGGCAGAATCGCATAGGTTTGGTGTTACATACGCAGAAGGACACAAACATCAGTGGGTCGTAGCGCATTGTTTATTTTAGGTCAATTATGGTAAAAAGACTTAAGGACACACACAAAGAACCTCCTCCGGCATACTAGTTAAATATTAAAATTAATTGCCTGACTCTCATAGTTTTAAGCACAGTTAACTAAATATGACAAATATATTCATAAACGAACTAGCACTGTCCTGCAGAGTTAAAAATAATAGTTGATATGTTAATAAAATTCGGCATGTTTATTAGTATTAGTAAAGAAAAAATCTTATTTAATAAAAACATTTTCAACAGATTAAAGGCTTGCGCAGAGGGACTTTCGTGTGCGGACGTTTTTGTCCGTTTAAATAGACCGCTTACAATTGCATTGAGTAACGCACAGGAGGGATTTAAAGTATTGCATACAACAAGTCCCCCAAATAAATGAGGACGCTGAGCGACCGGACAAGACAAAAATACGGGAAAGTTGCCGAACAACTAGAACTCACGCGAATAATTGTCCATGTCGATTTTTCTCTTGTATTTCTTAAGCTGCAAGAAAGCACCATCACTTCGCATTTTCTTTAATTTTTAAATTTGTATGAATATGTGAGTAAATAATGAATCGTCATGCGATTTTCAAAGATTGCAGAGTCAGCGACGTTTAATATCATTGAAGGTTATCACTCACTCGCATATAGCAAATTGTTAACTTATATTAACTGACATTGGTGACGATTCTGGCATGATTCTCTAAACCTAAATTTGAAAGAATGAAAAGGAGAGACTGATGTTAAATTTAGTTTAAGTTTAGAGAACCATGCCAGAGGTTTGACACCAATATTCGCTCTGTGCATGATTACAGCGCCAACTAGCGTCCACAACTTTGTAGGCTCTGTCACAATAACATTTAGGTCGTATATTTGTGAAAAAATATCGAAATGAAAAAATAACAAATATTTTCGACTAATAAATTGTTGTGATACCACGATTTGGGTGGAAAGAAGGTTTTGAAATAATTTTGGTCATTCAAATCAAATGAGCTAAGTCCAAAAAGTGTGTTTAATTTTGATTGTGTCAGCATTTCTTTACTTCATTTATAGTTGTAATTTTACAGTAAAACAAAAAGAAAAGGCTACTATAATGGTTTCATTATATAACAATAAATATATTGAAATGTTCCTGTATTGCTAGTAATAAATTAAATATCGTTTTCAGATCGAAATGAGTATTGTTTTGAAGACCGGGTTTGTGAGTGTTACTCACAATATCAAATTCCAATCACAAAATTCCAACCACAAACCGTATTTAAAGGAAAGTTGTTGGTATTGGCTGGACATGTCCGAGATGTAGAAGAATTAAGAAAAAAACAAAGGCAGAGTTCAATAATTCACGCTCTTATCATAAGGCAAACATCTATTACTTTGCCACTTTACAAAACGGTTTTAAACGTGAGTAATTATTTCCGTTGGAACTTAATACTTAGTTCGATCGAGTTTTGATAGACGTAATATTTAAATATTAATTTGATTGCAGGAATACAGCACGAGTAGTTAATTAATTAATGATATTAAAATGTATTATGTAGAATCGCTTTGCCATTGACAGATACATCTGATGACAGAGCCTACATTATTTCTACTTCTGACCACCATGAGCGCTGCGATAGATTATGTTACCCCCACCTAGTACTTCGCACCCAGCGAATTTAAATTTGATATATACAGAATACATTGTTATGGTATGTATCCGATTTGTATTTAATTACGCCAGCATTTATCGCATATAACTATCTAAAACTGATGATGACTTAAAGAAACTCCACATTAATTATATTTATCAAACAGCAATGCAACAAAGTGCTCGTGCCTGTTTTGCAACAAATGAAGCGCAGCTCAAGACAGATGTTTTAATTCGCAAATATCATAAAGAGATAATATACAATAATTATGAATTAATAAGTTGGTCACAGGTTTCTTGATGCCGTTTCATGGTATATATCTTCGTAACATTGTATTCAAACATTGAATTCATAATGAAATGAATAAAAGATAGTAGAAAATTTCGACAAATCATGAGTGGATTGTAAGATTAGCTAATCGCCAGTGCGCCAAGAAAACAAGCATATACAGAATATCAAAACCAAATAAAACTATATTATATTTTTATGAAGTCTTCGATACTCGCAAAATAATAACAAAAGCTGTCAAAAAGCCATAGCAATTTATGCAAGATTTATATGAACATTTAAGTTAGGGTCCGCAACAAAAGATGTTAAGAATGATCAAAAGAAACCTTTAAGAAAACAACTCGTTCGAACCGAGCCGATGTCAGCAGTAAAAGGTTATTCATTATGTATCACATGCAAATAAAAAATACGCGAAGCGCAAGTTTTACATACATACATACACAGTTGTTCCAACAGTGTGACCTACAATGTGACTTTCGTAAGACCTTATAACAGCCTAGACTGAATGAATGAGTTTGAGTTTTAATACGATGCTATCCGTAAACAATAGTGACAGGTTCATGTCTCGCCAATCGCTATCCTTCGTTGGACATGAAAATTCAATAACTTCGTAATCAATATTTATCTCTTATAAAATGAAAAGTTAATGCAAGTCAGGTTGATGTATGCACCAGCAGCATTCAATATTAATTCAGGTCACAATCTGGTTGCTGTATTGCGAGTAGCCAGAATTGCCCCAGAATGATGCCTTTACTTTTAGACAAAAACAAAAAGCACTTAACTCTATTAATCAGTGAAGTCAACAAATTATTTTTGTTCTAAATATTATACTATTTAGACATCATCATCAGCCTATATGTCCCCACTGCTAGGGCACAGGCCTCTGTGGATGGAATAGGAAGATTGGGCCGTGACCGGGGGCTTAGTGCGGATTGGTGGGTGCTAACGACTGCAGATGCAGCCGGGACCATTGGCTTAACGTGCCTTCCGAAGCACGGAGGAGCTCGAGGTAGTAAATTTTTGGTCCCCCATCCAATGGCCGACCACTGCGAAAGTTGCTTAACTTTAACGGTCGCAGCCGATCGCGCTAACCACTTGCGCCCTCGAGCTCCTCGATTGAGATATTATTGTTTAATAATTACTTTCAGATTTTTCCAATTTAAGTCGGTAAATTAACAAAAACTGTGACAGCACAGCTGTAACATTGCTCTAAGCAAAAGAAAAACGCAAAGCAGCTAACGCTTACCCAAAAAATCCGAGTAATACTTCGCTTTCGCATCCATCATTAACTAGTCAATATATAATACAGGACTTATATTTTCATCCTGCGTCAGGTAAATTTATTATTCTATTCCATCAAAAGAAAGGTTTTTTATTTTAGCAAAAAAGACCTGGACGGTACAATTTTAATATCGGTAAAATAGACATATAATGAGTAGTTATAACCACAAAACATATTCGCCTGAGCAGAGATTAGAGAAACGATCGCACAGCAAAACCTCGCATAAAACAGCACTATTTAATGAACAGTAGTAATATGCATTAAAAATATGTGTTTATCCACCTTTTTTATAATTTGGAGCTTTTTGATAAGAATTTTGTCAGTATTTGAATTAAATATATAACTTAAAAGCTACATAATAATTATGAAAATATCCTCTCGAAAAATAAGTTCCGTGCATTTGGCTGATTATTTAAGTTGTGTTTGAAGTTTACAGGATAAGATTGGTAAGAATTAAAATTTAAGGTATATTTACCAGAAACCTAGTATATCAGAGAATACATAATGTTTCCTTTTTTCTGAAACCTCAAGGCAACTCACATATTTTTTTATATATTAATTTCATCCGACCATAGCGCTCCTCTGCATACTGTGCTCTGCTTGCTAGTAAATTACTTAAATGTAAACTAAAACACAGTTATGATCAAGTCTCTAGAAAAAGACCAATTATAAACTGGTCCTTTCATCTAAATGTTTGGTGTGTTGTGGTAAAGAACAATTGAGAACCCCAAGAACGAACAACAAGCGAGAAAGTATTCGTATGTCATGTCATGGTTTCTACGGAAAAAGCTAGTTCGTTTTTACGTCGGGTAGAGGCGCTGCTTAGTTTCCAAAGAAACTTTGACATTGGCGATACGAATACGGACCTGTAAAAGTTTTTTGCTTGGGTTACTGGTCCTTAGATGTTAAAAAATTTGGTGTTTTGTGGCAACGAATTAGAAATAATATGGAATACGAACTGCGCTAAAATGTGGTTCTAGCAAAATGCGATTTAGAGGGCGGGGCGAAAAAAATGCCATCATGACGTCGATCATGGGATTAACCAATCCCATGATCTTAAAATTTCTGTTAAAAATTATCTTACCCAATTAATGGATAGTCGAATAAATTGGTAGATATTTGATTTGGCAAAGCATTGTATTTTGTTCAGGTGCGTGTCGTGTTAGTATTAAAGTACTAAACGGTATAATTACGCATCTGGTAAAACTACTTCTTTTCTACAGTGAGGAGGTTTCGGGCCCGTTGAATTTGAATCTTAAATAATTTTCAATCAAAACCGCCTAAAACAGTGTTAAAATTACTAAATTTAAAAACTATGCCAAAAGCGCACTGGAGGTATGTTATTCAGTTTTATACAGCTTCTGTAAAATTTAATTTTATGTTATTATACCGTTTTGTTCGCTAGCTCCTCAGTTTAGAACCCATTTTTTGAGAGTAATGCTTCCATATTATTTTTAATTCGTTGTTTTGTGCAAATGTAGTCAGATAGTTACCTGAAGTGGAAGAACACCTCCTTGGAGTGGTCGCTGGTCTCGATGAAGCCGAAGCAGTCTTTCAGCGCGGCAATGAACCCCTGCAACACTGGCCGCGAGCCGCCGCCCGCCGCCGCCGTCACCGCCGCCGCCGCTGCCGCCGCGCCCGCGCCCGCGCCCGCTGTCGCACCTGATCCCGCGCCCGCGCCGGTCCCCGACCCGTTGGACAGACCGGAGGAGACGCTCACGCATGCCGCCACTAGCTCTTTAGTACGCTTCACCTGGTTTAACCATAAAGGTATAAGAATATAGCGGGGAAGGCGGCTCTGAAAGGCGTCTAGTAGAAAGAGAAAGAAGATGAGAGACCGCTAGCTATCTCTCTCTATTGTGACACATGCGCAGACGTCTGTCCAATAGTTGGTCCAAGCATCACATCGAAATAGTAAGATGTTTACGGTTGTCAATTCGCATGCGCGATTAGAGAAAGCTAGCGGTCTCTCATCTTCTTTCTCTTTCTATCAGAGGGGCACTTCCACTTGTAGTAGAGTCTATATTTCCCCTACTCTATTCTTATACCTCTATGGGTATAACACGGTATAGCAAGACATTTTCACCATTGAGTACGTTAGTACCTACAAAAATCTTAACAACTCCGCTTGAACAGGCAATGGAATGTTCATTTCGTCAATATCTTTTTAGAAAGGGCGAATAAGCATTGGCTTTGTTTCATTCCATTGGCCGATACAATTATCGGCAACATAGTTTTATAGTAAAAAACAGTTTCATATGTTTATTTGTTGAGGAAAGTGTATAACCCTCAGACCCATGAAAAAATATGACATACTTGTTACGAATAGAGGCCTAATGTGGCATTTTCCCTTTACAATTTTCATCGTTATATAGTTTTCGCAAAATACATATCATACTTATATGCGAATGAAATTTCATCCAAATCCGTTCATTACTTTGTGTGATTGAGTAAAAGACATACATAAAATTAAGGCCGGTGTCGAATTTGTGGTACTCCTGGTGTTGCAGATACATCTCAACAGCAGCAGCAGATCAGCGTCTATAAGCGATGGTGATCAGTTACGGTGATATGAACCCAGGTGAGCCGTATGATCGTGTGCCTGATATAATAATATATATAAAAAAAAACATTCAAACTTACAAATTTACATTTATAATATTATTAAGTAGGATAGTAGTTCAAGTAGACATCTATGCATATTAGTAAGAACTTGGATAGGATGTGTGTATGTGTTACCTGGTAGATGTCGAAGGTGACCTTATCACCGACACGCGGCAGCAGCTTGCCCTCGCATTTCTTGGCCGCAAACGACACGGATTTCTTAATGCCATTCACCATGCACGTGATCACGCCGTTGTTCTCCTGCTGACCATAAACAGACCACTGTCACCTTGATAGACTAAAGGCCTGCGCTGTGTAAAGCGGGAGCAGGGAATGGACGTCCGCTCCGCGTGCAGGTTTATGTAATTTCATAGAGCAGCGCTGCGACGGAAGACCCGTTTCATTCTGCGCTCCGACGGGAGACCGGTGCTCCCGCTTAACGCAGCATACACCCTGAGAGCCACACGCCGAGATGGCAATTAATTTTGGAGTTTGATTTAGGTAATTTTTTTCGATATTTCTAAAAGACGCCACCCTGAACCACTTGAAAAAGCGCGATATCTGAGGGCTCCTCCCGACTCACTCCATCCAGTCAGAAGGCTCGATAAAATGAGCAGTATCCTACCCGGTAAAAACCAGATAACACGGGAGTATTAGACTGGGCGAACACTTACAGTTTCCTGAATCGGAATTCTGTGAGCCCAGCGCAGACATTTCGGTTTTTTTAATAGTTAGAATTCGAACCGAACGTTAGGTTTTATTTCATTCTGAAAAAAAAAGAATAGTGTGCGCCTCGTTTAAAATGCTTTTTTTGTATGTAAGATTGATTGATTGATTTATTTACTCTCTAGATGCGTTACCTAGTAAACACTGCGATAAAAACAGAACAGGTTTTATGTTCTTGTGTGCTTGACACGCAAAACAAAACACGCGAATCTTGCATCTTACACTCGCATACTGTCGAGAAATTGTCATCATTTTGCGCATGCGTAAGATACCAGGTTAGGCAACATTCACCCAAAAAGTGCGTAAACTGAATCAAATCAAAATAAGTATATTGTTCACACGATTAAAAATCATAGACATTGAAACATCTGTAAAACTTAGAAATTTCGACTTGGATATTTCAAATAAGAAATTTTTATTTTGTTTAACTAAAATAATAGCCAATATAATAAAGAAACAAACTAACAAAATGGAAAAACTTTTTTCATATTATGATGATTAAGGCCTTGAACTTACTAGTTTAATATTATTTATCTTTAAAATTTGACATATTAAACAATAAATACCTCTCGCAAATGTGTTTTTTAAAATTATTTTAATTTATTATGTTATTAAAATGATCTGAGCATATAACCGTAGATTTTGCTGGTTGCCAGAAATCTTCTCCACGAATTCGTCTTATGTCGTCTACCCACCGACTTCTCATTATGAGATCATTAGGTAGTCTGGAAATAGTGGACTTTATATATTTTTTTTATATTCCATCCAGATTTCGAGACAATTAAATTTATAACAATTTCAAACATATCTTTTCTCCATCGCACTGCTGCAATCTGTAAAAAAAATTGATAAGGCCATACTTACTTTTTTGCCGAATTTTGTAATGAGTCACTGACATCACTTTAAAAATGTCAAGATGGAGTCGTAAATATTTTTACTTAACTATATGCGTCCTTTACAATTTTGGCAAACTTTTATAGCACATCTTAGCATTTCAAAGCAATAATATCAACACGAAACTGTAATTGTCGTGCGTATCGTTCAGCGTTACCTTGAACACTAAGTGACGGGAAACGTCTTACAGTCAAGCAGTTGACTCGTATTTTTTCAACGTCATCTGCGCTGCCACGCTGAATCTAGGAATAAATAATCAAAGTAAGTTCCATTCAGATTTCCGAATCGGAATACCTGTTCAGGAAACCGTACATGTGCGCTCAGTCTTACCTGGTTTTCACTGTGCACGGACAGGGTGACAACCACTTGTCATGTACTATATAGGCGTGTGTGTGGGAAGAGCTCGATGGCGCAAGTGGTTAGCGCGTGGTCTGCCATTGGATGGGTGACCAAAAATTTACTATTTCGAGTACCTCCGTGCTTCGGAAGGCACGTGTGAGTTCGTTGGTCCCGGCTGCTTCTGTAATTGTTAGCACCCAATCCGCACTGGGATTGTGCCCCAGCAGTGGGGACATTAATAGGCTGATGATAATGTAGATGCGTGTGTGTGTGTGAGTGTGTGTAGTGTTCGTGCGCACCTGCGCAGTCTGCCTGGTGGGGCTGGTGTTGGCGTTGTTGGCGTTGGCGTTGGGGGGCGGCTCGCGGGCGATGACCCCGCGCACGCCGCGCTCCACGAGCGTCTCAAAGGCGACCGTTCCGGCCGGCAAGTGCTTGATCCGCGTCGCCGATTGCCGCGTGGGTGCCGCAGAGAACGACGACACCGGCTCCACCGTGAACTCCACCTGACACGCCAGACCAATATCTCCATGTACCTCGTTTACATTCAACCAATTAAGGATCAATGGACAGCTGGACCGTCAACATCATTGATACTGTCACAAACACTTTCGAAACGAAACCTCGAAAATACTGTAAACAGATTTTACCAGAACACCGCGGGTCACTCATTCTAATATGAGCCGTATGTAGCGCTTAAGATAGAAAGCAACGACATCTGCACTTGTTTACAACTTATGCTTAACTTGTGCCTCGCGGGCGGGTGCTATTTAACTCTCGATTTAACGGGACTTTTCTAGAATGCGTCGATTGGCGTATAAAAGTGCGTTCGGCGCCACGCAGTGGACAGTTTAGTTTCAAAGCGATAGCAGTTGAGTTTCAACAGCGATTTCCGAACGAATACAAAGGCGATCATAGTGCAAGTAAAGGGTTCAAGTGCGATTGTTTAAAGACTTGTATAGTGAAGTACAGTGTTTAGTAAATGAATTGTGATTAACATTGTGTTTTAACTGTGTGGCGAATAAAGTACTGTCAAGCATGAACTGGCATATAATTTCGAACCCCATCCCGACACGTAACAATACTTTAATTTCGCCTCATTAATTTAAATCACTCGCCGCAATACTACTCTATGAAACCCACACTTTTTAAGGATCAATGGACAGCGCCAACCTCACATTCCATGAAAGTGACTTGTTTACTTGTTCTGTTAAAATTGTATGCAAAGATTTTTGAAAAATCACCCGCTTGAGCGGCGAATCGAACCAGTGAAATGTGAAAAAAGAATATACTTTATTTTATGATATCAACCGAAAGAGTCACCCATAAGGATCAATTTATTTTAAACAAAATAGCTTTGAAACAAAATATAGAAAGAGCAAGAAAAATATTATTTTATTGTACTTAAACTTTACTTACTATCTAAAGAAAGTAGTTCACATATCTTATGAATTGCTCAAAATAAGACCCATTTTCACGAATGCACAGACGTATTATTCGACTGAATTCGCTACGTGTCTTTTGCATCGAGTTATGGTGAATACTTAAAATATTATTTTGAACTTCGTTGAGCCCTTTCCTTGGCTTACTTAATTGGACTATAGGTTAAATACGCCTATATATTATTGTGTTACCTCATCTCCGACGCTGAGCTCGTGTCCGAGCCGCAGCACCTCAGCGAAGTGAAAGAACATGGTGTGCTCGCGCTCCACGCAGCGAATAAACCCAAAACCCTCGCGCAGGGTGCACACCACGCCTTGCTCGCGTCTGCACACACATACACATATCACTCTTGTACATCAATTGTTACCTATTTTATAGGTCGCGGCAAACTCCTTGAGCAAAACCATAAACAAATAAACTGGCGTAGCTTATTTTTGTATGTAAAATTGCTACTGTGCAGGCTACCTCATCTATGATCGCTACTCAAGAAGTTTGCCGGAATGCATACATTATGTGATGTAAAGGAGGAGTAGGATCTCGAGATCGCAAACGATTAGGGCGTTCGGCCTGCGATCGTGCAAGTTAAGCTACTTTTGCAATGGTCGGTCATTGTAAGGGTGACCAAAAACTTATTATCTTGAGCTCCTCCGTGCTTTGCAAGACTCGTTAAGGCATTCGTCTCGGTTGCATCTGCTGTCGTTAGCACCCACCAATCCGCACTGGGTGCGCGTGGTAACTCATGGGCCAATTTTTTCATCCATATGAAAGGCCTGTGCCCCAGCAGAAAAGACATAAATAAGCTAATAACGATGATGACAAAAGTTGACCTCAAAACATGATGTCCTCTTTTATTTGACGACACTGTATGAACCACACAGAGAACCAAAACAGGGATAAAAAAAAGCATAGCTGAGTTTCCTGCCAGTGCGATGGCGTAGCTTCAGACTTTTACGTAAGCTTGTAAAAGCCTACACTGAATAAAGGAATTAGAGTCCCCATTACTAAATTTTTGTTTGTATTCGAAATCGCCAAAGTTGTTGGCGTCCGAGGAGGATGAGCCGCGTTTTGATTGGACACGCCAGTGTTGGTTAAGTTCTGGGGGCGTGTCACACGCTTATTAAGTGTCACTATAAGTTTGTCACAAGCGGGTGAATTTGTATGCAGTCTTTAGTGGTGGTGCTCTATGATCACAATATTCACAATGGAAAGGCACAGCGAGAACTATGTTAAGTTCTTAGTAATAGTAAGAATGTCAGTCAAGTCAGAAGATAGCTAAATAAGCAGATATTTTCATTATTATTGCTTAGTATAATTAGTTGTTAAGTGTATAACAGTGTTAAATGCATAAGTAGTGTACTCAGTAAAGCACACACTTTTAATCGAGAACAGTCTGAGCCCACATCAAGAAAAGTTAAGAGACTGATCGCAGATAAACTATTATTCACAAAACTTTTCTGTTTGGTGCCCCATTTCTAATTTCAATAACCGACTTAACGATGCTGGAGTCTAATTAGTACTAACAGTTGTATTTAGAGACGTCAATAAACTTTAAAGTTTGTATAAAGTTATTGCAGTCACTTTCTTTGCATTAACAATGTAGTATGACAACATGAGAATTTAATGACATTTTTGTTGAAGTCTCTTGAGTATGGCCGTAAGTAATCAAATGAAAAGGCTCAGATATTTGCGTTTAGAAAGAGCAATTTTCGGTTTCGTAACTATATCCATCCAACATTCAGATACGTCATATGCTCGTAATATGACTGTAGTTATCACCAAGGAAATTAACTTTATACTGATTTAAAACTTATCTGACGTGACTGAAACTTATCTGGCGACGTGTTGATATGTATGTGGTTTGTGGTGCTCAGTGTAATTTTTCGTACCGTTCTCCGGAGACGTTGAACGACTCGTCGAGTAGCGATATGTTGGTGGCGCGCTTGAGTTGGTCGCGGCGGTCGGTGGCCACCTGGAACTGCACCCAGTCGCCGTGGCGCAGCGTGAACTCGCCGCACTGGTCCTTATCGCCGAAGGGCACCTCCACCTCGGAGTGATCGGCGGCGCGGTACCGGATGCGGCCCGGCAGTGGCTCGCTCTGCGCCGCCCGCTGAGCCGCGCCGCGCTCGAGCGGCTTGAGCACCTGCCCGCGCATCAGCTCCGGGCTCACGTCCTCGAACACCACCGACCCGCTCGGCAACTTCGTGATGTTGCACGCCACCTCCTTGCCCTGTGCCAACGACCACACACACCGCTGTCACTAACACCGACACGAGACAACCTCCACGCGATCCTACTTATAAGATTTTCTTACGTTTCTAGTTTGAATGATAAATTCGACATCATCCCCTAGATTGAGTTCTTCCTTGGTTTTGGCTTCGGAGTAGTGAAAAAATATCTCCTTGACGACGTCCGCCCTCTCGATGAATCCGAAATTTTCTTTCATGGAGCAAACGACGCCGTGGTACTTGACCGGATGCACAGGATTCTCGAAGCGCACGTGACACGCGCCCAAGGTCCCCCTGAAAGAAATACAACGTCAGCAGGTTTTTGTTGAAATAAAGACGGCAGTCGGAAACCGTGAGCGGAAATAACCTTTGGTTGGTGGCGATCTGGAAGCTGACCGCGTCTCCGGTGCGCAGCGTCACGTTGCCCTCGACGTCATCTTTCGTGTAGGGCAAGAAGAAACATTCCCCGCGGTTTTCGTAAGAGATCCTCCCGGTGTTATCGCCGGAACCCTCTCCTTTCACCTCGGTAGTGACGGTACCCGTGACACGGGCCTCGCTCAGCACCTTGTATACACAAGTATATTTTGAATAATAATAAAGATACAGACAATGTCTATATTCAACTACCAAGGTTGCTCCAAAAAATGTTTTGCCCCATAGTAATTTAAACCACAGAGCAGAATCTTTTTCCCGTAAGACCATTTTGGTTGATGTTTAATTTCAATACAACCTTTCATGAAGATAATGTAAGATTGTATGAAAAAGTTTCATTATTTCAAGTAAGATTGATAATACTTCTTAACAAAGTTACAATTTAAATATGGTGGATGATATATAATACGGTGAATCCACAGCCGGCCACTTAAGCTTCATATAAACGAGCAGCTCGTAGCTGATGGCAGCCGTAGACTCGTCGAGGGCTACCGTCAACAGGTGACGCTGCTGTTGCCGCTACCGTCGGCTGCAAGCCGCTCGTGTATAAAAACCCTCAGTGCAATAAGTTATGTCAATGTCGTCACTGTAGATTTTATATAAAACTGCAGACGAGACCACCGAAAGAAGAAGGGGTTTCGCTAAATATTTTTGACATCTCATAATATGTACTTTTTAAACGTAATGATGGCTTGGTTATGGTAATCCAAATGCATAAATGCATTGAAGGTAGAATAGAAAGGTTTTGAAAATCAACTTTTTTATTTAGTACTTAGTGACATTAATTTCAGTGAAAATTTTTGGAACATCCCACATATATACCGAAACTTTTAATCATAATAGAGTTCAGCAATATTTAAAGCAACTACTTATTACAATACATGTTGCAATAAATTATATTTAATGATCATACCACTTCTGGTGCAATCTTGGTTACGGTAGATGCAATTGGCTTCCCAGTACGGCGATCGTAAGTCATTTCAAATTCTACAGGATCACCAATTTTCAGATGTTCAATGTTGCCACTAAACTGACTAAAGTGAAAGAACAAACGAGCTTGTCGCTCACAGCACTGGATGAATCCATATGAATGCTAAAAATTAATTGTTTTTATTAGATTTCTCTTAAATACTACTCACATACACAACAAAATTAAATATAAGGAGAAAACGAAGTAGATATTACATTTTAGAGATGAAAGTAGAGATGAAGTCGAAATATTTAATGTCCAGTATTTGTCCAGGCCATATTATACTACTATATACTATAGAAAGAAATCTGTATATGATCCAAATCAGAGAGACTTTTCTATTGTTAATTATTACAAACTCCTTCAACTGCATGTGAACTAGGAATCTGTTCTCAACTAAAAGTCAGTGTCAAGTAGGTATAATGATAATATGTGTATAAGAATGCTTAAATATTTGCAGTCATGTAATAAAATACTGTTTCGTTTTGCCACAAAGGTGTCATCTAATAGATAAGCATAATATGAATTTAATATTTTGAAAAATAATCAAAATTATTCATGCATCTTGTTTTGCAAAATAAGTAACTATAACTGGAACAATATATAAAACACTAATCATGGCAAAATGCCGTCACACTTTAAGTCAGTTCAGCTGTTCAACAAACATTGAAAAATATAAGGCTAGCAATGCACAAGGCTATTCTTTTAAGTATTTTGCATTTAATATTTAAATATTTTTATTTAAAGCTATTTTGTATTTATATTTGAAATAGTGCTAACAACTATGGATTTAAATACTTTTACTAAACTATTTTTCACATCTCTACATGTATGTCTCTCACGCACCATAATCAAACTCTCTTTCTCTCATATACAACTGACATTAAACCTTACTGCCACAACATAACATATTAATTTGAACAAATGTGTTAAAGTTATAGAGTTGATGTATATATTTATCACAATGCAGGTTGGTCAATTTTTATGCAGTTTTGTTAAGCAATTGGTTGTCTACTATTTTCTTACGCATCAATGTCATTATGGAATGATATATATTTTATTCTTTGGTTGTATCTTTTTTATTTATCTTCACCTGTTGAAGAGTTAGCCATTGTCATAAATTAGGGTGACTTATTATATAAAATTAAACTGAATTATTTTTCATTCCAGAAAAGCAGTCTTATGGTGTGAGGATACATGAAGCAAGAAAGTATTTAAGTAAAAGCTTTGAAATGTAAATTATTACAATACATTATTTAAGACATAGTAAAAACAATAAATAATGCTAGTTTCTGATTGGATACCAGTTAACATCACACTGGATTACTCTTAATTGTTTTTATAAGGCATATTAGTAGCATTTTAATTATTTTTTGTTGAACAAGTGAAAATATAATTTAGTGTTATTTAGATCACATTTCTACCTTGAAATTTATTGTTCGATAGATTAGGCATAATTGAAAATTATCCATTCATATCAAGTCTAATACAACTTTTAAATAATTATAATAATATAGATATTGTTTCCAGCACTGTCATATCTCCAAACTACAGTCAAATTCAGTATCAAGTACAAAAGGAGTAATCAAATAAAACTTTGTCAACTTTTGTAGACAAATACATGTCATTACTGAATAGCTTGAAAATTAGCATCATATGTAAATTACGAATGTATATAGGTACCAAGGCAATGCATCACTTATACACTTCCTTCTGTAGGGATCTCATGTTAACATTTTTACAACTTTTAGAATATAACACACTCTTATTTATAAGAGGATATCTGCATGTTGAAATTTATTATTTGCTACTTAATATTCAATGCCACAAAACTAACTACTTAACTATGCTATGATATGATATTAACTGACCAAACTTGAATAACATTACCTAATGGAATTTGTAAATTATTGGCTTAGGCATGCATGAAGAACTGCATTATTTCAATGTGCTTGCATAAACAAATAAGAATATTGCCAATTCGCCTTCAATATATAATTCATTAAATTGTACATCTAATTAAAGCTTTCTCTGTGTATGTGCATACATTTTATTATTCTTATTATCAAAGTGAGTCTAATATTTAATGTATGTTAGCAAGAGCCCATATGAGTATTAGTAGTCCTTTGAGTTGGAATCTTCAAGGGTATAGCATCAACATCTCATGAGAGACCAGGATTGGATTCCCTATTGGCACACTTATTTATTATATAGGTATTGGAGGTGATTTGCAGAAAAAGTGTTATTTGCTTATGCAAGCACATTACAAGAATGTAGTTTGTATAGATAGAATGCTTTATGAACATTTATTTAGGTTTCTATGCAAGTGCCTCATGAGTCTAGCTCTAGAGTATATCATTTATAAATACAATTAAAAACAAAAAATAATAATTAATAGTTACATACCAACAATTTTTCTATAATTCCTGTTTCTCTGATGGGAGGATGGTTCATGGAATCATATTGAGATGATGAGTTATTAGTTGAGCCAGATGAGTAAACACCCACAGAGTCACCCATGGGACACCCATCTATATTGTAATTTCCAAGGGTAAAGCGATTACCACCACTTGTCTTGCCTATGTTGCTGAAGTTGTCTCTTGGTGAACTGGGGTACTCACTGCTGAATGTACCTACAAGTGATGAGTGTTTCACAAACTGCATAGAACAGGTTTAGTTCATAACAAGCACACTTACAACTACAGTGTACTCACCATTACGATAAGCTTGTTTTGCCTGCATGTTTGAGTGTTGGAGATCAAGTATGTCTTGCAGGGGAGATGGGTGGGAATCTGGCGGTTGGAACATCTTCCACTGAGGATTACTGGACATGGTTTTGTCTTCCTTGTATATAGGTCGAAAATCTCAGTTCTATTAATGAATATATCACAGAAAATCGCGTGGTGTCAATGTTCCTAATTAGCAGTAATAAAATTTAAAACAAATCACATTTTTTTAATCTTTGTGTTCTACAGAACACCACCGAGCGTTTTTACAGTCACAATTTTTACACCAAATCACAATAATTGTTAAAAATAAAAAAAATGGTTAAGTTGATAGATCCCCAGATGTCTTCAATGCTTGCTGAGTCGGAGCTTCGAGTTGCATTAGTTCGGTTGACGAGGTGAGGGTATGTTATCGTATATTTCGGTTCCTATCTATACGTCTATCCGACATTCACAAGCTGCAACGGACACTTCAATTTAATATCAGGATATACGATAAGACTTCTGCAAATCAATGTTAAACACCGACAATAATCACGAATTGTGACCATGCGTCATTTTGGAATATCAATCTACATTTTAGTTTTACTATCTAGGGTAGTTATTGGCCGCCTTATAGGACGATGTGCAAAATTATAATGCCGTACAAGTCACCGCACATTCGATTTTTTTTTCATTAAGGCAAATAGGATATCACAAACAAAACTCAACACTAGTTAAAAAAAAATACCAATTATAACGTATGAAACTAATAGTAACAAAACCATGAAATTAACAAATCTCACCACGACACAGCACAGCACTGACGACATACCGCCATATTGAATGTCAACATTATCGTATCGCTTTGATTCATCCATACACAAAAATTGTCCCTATTTTTATAGATTTTTTTATTGAATGACGAGCTGATGTTAAAAATATGTATGGTCTACGAAAATAAGATCAAAATGAATTTTATAAATTTTGTGCTTGTTTTTTGTCTAAATACGAGAGACTATCGTAGTAATGATTTGATTTTTCTTTATTTTTTTTTTGGCTGGTATTAAAGTGGCCATTTATTTCGATTGAAACAGGAAAACCTACTTCCTTTGTAGTAGTTTGAACTACTTGTTTGGAAACATAAAATACGTGTGCTACTTTTAAGAAATATCAATTATTTATTTAAGGTTCAATAGTAACGTAACTTACTATTCAAATATTGCCTTATAAACAAAAGATTAACCTAATGAGAATTATTAATGTTGTTATTCTAAGATTTGTGAAATAAATGAGGACTTCGAAACATAAATCTAAGCTTCAAAAGAATGTTTTTGCGTACAATTTTTAAATTTATTTACGTAGAAACTAGGACTTACTCTGTGGGAAGAATTTCAAATGGTAACATTATTTTTTCCTGTTGTGGTAACATTATCAACCATAGATTAAAAAACTAATTTTACCATAGAGCGTAAATATTGTCATTATTAATTTACTAGTAAAGGCATAAGAAACTATACAATGCAGCCTAATCAATATCCTTTCAGGATTTCCCATTTTATATTGTTTGGTATGGTGATTTGAGATCAATTTAATACTGATTTTACTCGGCAAGCATTAGTGATTACCAATTCTAATCACAACATAAAAATCCTACATAAACTCATTGGTTACACCTTTGACTAACGCAAACAGACACATGTTACTCATATTACCGACTGGAATATTATAACACATTGGATTCATTTTGTTTGACAACAACTTAAAATACCTGATTTTGACCCTGGAATGTACCCTGGATTTCATGCTTTTAAAACATAAAAAAAATATCCGCTTGGTATTGATTTTCTGCGCCACGCAAACGCCATTTGTTACGCAATATTAACCGACTAAAATTAACAGCACAGTTCGTGTAGACAACTTAATAATATCTCGAAGCATTCTAACATAGCAAAACTATATTATTAGGCCCTTGATGTGCCTCCGACGTATAACAGTTGCCAAACAAAGTGAAGGAGGGAAATATCAAATAGGAAAAGTTTAGTATTTGTTTGTGAATGATTATTACTAGTATGAATAAATCTTTTCCTTACTGTGGTCTGGTTAACATTTATGACTAAATTACTATAGCTTATTTTATTAACACACCGCAAGTGATTGAAATGGAAGAATTGCGGTCCAAACATAAAACTATTCAAAGTGCGGCTCATCATATTGCTCTGGAGTGCATTCATCCTCAGGTATGATAGAATTGAATATAAATATCTATTTTAAAGTAACAGGGAACTACTACGGAAGTTTACTTTTAAGTGTTCTCTAATATTTTGGAATTTCAGTGTCATGGTAAATACTATTTTTAAGTCTAATAGATTACTATCTTTGACCGCATCCTAACTAAATGACCAAGCCTCTGTCTGACTGATTTGTTTGTTTGAAAATTGTGTTGTGATACCATAGAGCTGAAAATTATCTCGAAAGCTAAATATCAATTATTTATGTGAAAATTTCATTACGTTGCCACAATTTTTTTCGTTCACCTTACGCATGTCACATTACATTTCAATTGTTATTAAAAAATTCAGACCTTATCAACAAGCATCGCTGGTTCAGTTTTGAATGAACCACTGATGGTTTAGTCAGGGTTCGAAAACCAGCCAAGGAAGGACTTTTTATTAATGATTTTGGAAGTTTCATTTGCATTGTTGATCGAATATTTTATTAGTATATTATATACCAATTAGACCAAGTAAATAATTGGAAAACTTGTTGAACAATTACTTAATTATAATTTTATCAATGTAAGCCTTTTCTAAACAAATGTAATAGCTAAAAAATCTTTTTACATATATTATAATATAGGTTTAGATTAAATGTAGATGTATGTTATGAAGTCACATACTTCTTTCTTAATTTTTATCTAATTGAATTTCAGTAGCAATGAAGACTCGATTTCATTGGACAGTCTGCAACAATGGAGAGTTACAAGCAGTCAGCAAAGTATACACTGAATTATATTAATTTGTGTGTTCACTAGCTTTACCTGTTTTTGACTGAAGCTTTATTTTGCAACCATATAGTTAGACATTTATATATAAAAAGGCTTTACTTCTTGTGAAAAACGAAAGAATTAATTCATATTTACAAGAAAATGTATAATAATACTTTTGTTCATCAATGACATTGATGTGGGAATTATAGATCTAGCGGATGCAATGATTAGATAGAGAAAATGAGCAGGGGGCTTAAAAAGCTTCAGTCATGTCCACTGTGTGATGCACCAGCGATTGTTCACAGTACCATTTGTCCCATGTCTGTGCTCGGAGCAGTCAACACACGGCTCGCCATACCACGTGCACCCATACCCTTCCCCTGTTCGGCTTCAGCATGCATTCCAGAGTCAGAACAGTCCGAAGATGTTCCATCCCAAAGGGCTTAAACCACACCTTGTAAGTATGCTTTGTGAGCTCCATGGCAGTGAGTGCTAGACAAGTTTTTTACTCTGCTATCTTCAATCAACAAAAGGATATTGTTAATTGAAGTAGGCCATAATCAATAATTATGACTGTGTTTTTCTCTCTGCGTCAAAAAAAACGCACCTATGCGATAGTAACTTTCAAGCATTATTTTATAACACACCAATATTGGTGTTATTTGAAAACCCAATAATAAACTTAAAAAAACAATTAATTTAATTATTATTTTTGATTGGAACAGTGCAAAAATCAATAAAGTTTACAAAACAATAAAAAATCTTAATTAAGTCTCAACTAAAAACAGATAAATTACACAAAAAATAAATAAATAAATTTTTTGAAACTAACCTAAAACCTGGTGTTGCCACCCTTTGCCCAGTTGACGACTTCCATATGCTCTCTCATGCATCATACCAATTTTAGGAGGTCTTCTTGAGGGATACTGGCCCTTTCCTCAATAACGGCCTCTTTGAGCTCCAGCAGAGTCGTGGGAGCAGGATCCCCAGAGGCACAGTCCCAGATGTACTCTATCTGGTTCAGGTCTGGACTTCTTGCTAGCCACTGCATGACAGAGATCCCAACCTCTTGAAGGTGGTAGTCGCGCACAATTAATGCGGTGTAAGCTCGAGCGTTATTGTGCATTAATGTGAACCCCTCGCCAACAAAACTGGCATAGGGGACCATATGCTCTTCCAGGATCTCTGTGACGTACTGGTGAGCAGTCAGCGACCCTTGCCCGCGAGCACCTCCAGGGATGAGTGGAGCGCTTACAAGGCCGGTTTTGCCGTTGGCCGACATGACAGGGGACCAATCGCCTAACGGTATTACAATGGCTATCGTTATCGCTTACGATTTCATTTTATTATTTCTGACCGCCGAAGATTCTTTCTTTTGTTTTTTTTCTTTTGCATTGGTAATAACAATATTAAAGAATTGCGCGTGAGGTATTTAAAAACCTTGGGTGGTCAGAAATAACAAAATGTAATCGTCGATCGAATCGATAGCCATAGCAACTTCATTAGGCAATTGACCCCCAGGAACCGCCCCCGTATTCCACCGCTCCTGGATGCAGGCTTGGGCGAAACGTTCCCCCTATCTTCTGTACACTCTTCTGCGTCTATCGTTGCAGAAAAGGCACACTCGTCTCGTTTGAGAAGAGAACAGCTTTCCATTGGTCAAGGGTCCAATTGACGTGGTCGCAAGCAAACTGCAAGCGGGCTCGCCGATGGTCTGTGGTAAATTTTGGACCCGTAGCAACTCTATGAGCCGCTATCTTCTTCTTCTCCCTCAGTCTTCGTCTAACCGTAGAAACGCTCACGGTTTCACTGCGAGCTGCCTTAAGCTACCGTTGCAACTCGACAGTATTAGAGAACCGATTTCTTAGAGATGTCGATACGATGAATCGGTCGTATCACACCGAGGTGCAGCGACGTCTACCAGACTCATGCCTCCGGAAATGACCATTGGTCTCCAGGAATCGCTGCTATACTCTTCGAACCGAAAAAGTTCAGTTGCCGAACGATATCACACTGCCGTATCCCTGTTTGCAGTAGTGTTCGACGGGCGTGCGGCCTGTTCGGGCCACTGTCGACGCTTTCTTGTTCGCGCCTCGCGGGGGATCGCGGGGCACGAAGTGTGGTTTCCGCGGTGCGGGCCCTTGCAGTTTGCGCAAGTTGTGGGTTGCGCGAGCGGGCGCAACCCACGGGCAGTCGGCGGCGGCGTGTGGGTCTCCGCAGCACATGCAGGCAAGCGGGCGTTGCGAACTTTTGATGGAGTGGCGGAATCCATGGCAGCGGTGGCACTGCGCGGGGTTCTTCCCTTTCGACGCTTCGATGTGTATCCCGGTCATGCTCATGACCTCAATCACCGTGTACATGGCTGGGATGATGTCTGGTGTTCTTTTAAGTTTAGCGAAGTATAGGCATCCGGGGCGGTCTGCTCGTGCCCGGATCTGCTTGATGTGTTCAATTCCGAAGCCCTTTGTGGCAAGGGCCTCAGCAAAGTCCTGCGGCAAGTGTTTATGGGCAGCCCTCTAATAGCCACCTTGAGGCTGCGGTGTTTGGGGAGGGCGTGCGAGTACCGCCCGCTCTGCCCCTCTCAATCTGGAGAGGTATTAGGCGGCTCTCGCCCTCGTCCTGCGGTGTGAAGCGCACGCCCGTGCCATAACGGGCGTGCGCTGGGTGGTCGGCCGAGTTGTTCGTGTATGGCGGTTGCGCGGTCGCCACGGCGGTGGGTGCGATATTTTCGGTTGCATTGGGGATAGGCGCGGAATTTCTCGCTGCCTGCGCGTAAGTTACCGACCGTAAAGCAGTCTTAAGCTGTTCTGGGGCGGCGGGGGCGATTTCTCGCCTGGGTTGTTGGTCTCGTTGCTTTGCAGGGTTCTGTACCTGGGCTAGTAAGGGCTGGGGTACGGGGGTTCGCCACAGCTGCGTGACCGGCGAAGGCGCGGGTCGCGCGGATGTTCCGTGCTGGGGTGTTTCTCCTGCGGCTTAGGCGACGGCGTCTTGGTGAGGGTCTTCATGTAGATGGAGCGTGAATGGGAGGTTGATCGTCTTATTTGCTTCGATGGTTGCACTATCCCCGGGGCGGTAGTTGGTTGTTGCGCTCGCATCATACTCCAACTGCCGGACGTAGGCCCATATCCAGTCCATCAGCCTTGCGGAATCTATGAGTCGGGATGCCATCGCTGCGCCTAATTAATATTGGGCGCGGGGCGATTTTGTCCGGTTCGTTAGGGCCGTGGTGTGGGCCATGCTGTCGTCCACGGTCTGGTCGGGGTATTGCGGTGTCGGGGGCAGCTGGTCGATCCCGCTGCGAGTCGCTGCTCACGTCAGTGCGATCTCAGCTGGGAGGTGCGCTGGTCCCCGCTGGCACAGTGATGCCAGGCAGTGCTCGCGGATCAATAAAGAACACTTTATTTTGGAGCACTTACGTGGGGTTAGAGATCGTTGCGCGGTAGACGCGGTACACTCCTAACTCCAATTGAACCTGTATTAATAGTTTTTTACCCCTTAAGGTTTTTTGAAGTTTATTTAATGGGCTTTTATATGATACCAATATTGATACAAAATTTTCGCGGCGTCGCGAGTTACAGTATACTAGTGAGAGTGTAGACACTAGACACTTTTGCGTTTTATAACCTGATACTGTAATACAGATTATTATTACTTTTTAAATTTTTTCGTTTATTTAAATTTTATTTAATGTATCCTACCTAACTGATGTTAAGTATACTTAAACTTAACTACTTAGTTATCTGCTTTATTATTTTACTACTGAGGCAGGATTAGAATTCCGTCGTCCTGGCGGATGCACTAACTGCTATGATATCGAGAACTAAATGATCGTGCCGCATTTCTTCTAGTCTTTCTTAGGCTTCTAGTAATTATTTTAATGGCTACATACATCGCGATGCCTGACTTACCAGGTAAATAGTAAAAATAAGATCACAAAATCATTCAATCCCACGTAAGCAGAGCTTTTTTTATGAAAACTTTAAATACAGTTTAAACTACAATATAAATATTTAGTTACATTAATGCTCATCTCACAAATAAATGCTCTATTCGGGATAAGATAGAATTGCTAACATTGCAACAATCTGTTGTGAGTGGGCACGGACCTGAAATAAATTTTCTTAATGTTAAATTAATATTTTAAAGTCAGTTTAACTTTTCTTTACATATTTTTAGGGTTCCGTACCTCAAAAGGAAAAAACGGAACCCTTGTAGTCCGTCCATCCGTCTTATAGTAACGTCTTATAGTACATATAAAGGAAAAATTGCGAGGAAAACCTTTAGAATTAATCTTATTCATAAGTAATTGAAAAATAAGCTTGGAATAGTAACGCAACGTTTGTTTGTTCATTTGTTCATATCATCTAGAGGACATTGTGTTTATAAGTTAATAATTCGAAGTAAAGAGAGAGAAAGGGATGTGTGACAAAGAGGGTGATCAGAATAAATGTGAAAGTACAAACGAAAAGCTTAGAAAACATGGATAGATTGTATGATGAATGTAAGAGATAAGAAAGAATAATTGAATGTTTGTAATGAGGCTTGATTGCAAAGAATGGAAGAGAGTAACAATATTCAAACATAGACTGTAAATAATATGGAAAAGGGGCAGGCGAATGTCGAAAGAAAGACTGCGTAGTTAGTCTAAACTTGTTTGTTTATCAGTGTATTGTTATTGCAAATACATATTGGGGGCAGCCGACATAAGTAATTAAAACGATTGAAAAGGGGCTGAAACGAGATAACGATAAATACACAATTACGAATGGTTTTTTTTTTTTTTATAGATAGATCCGACAAATGACTCCACCCCACCTGATGTTAAGTGAAGGTGAAGTCCAGACGCGAAGATAGCTGATACAGCAGTTCTAACTGCCACACCAGCCATCCTCACCCTGCCGGCCTGCAAGTTGCTTCTTCACGCCTCTTTTAAAAGATCCCAGGTTGTGTTTTGCTAATAGCGTAACGGGTTTGCTAATAGCGTAACGTACTCACGTTTGAAACCTTTGTCGGAAGCTTGTGGTCCGCGTATTCTTCTAGCTAAAGGGGCACATGAACAGCACACACAGTCATAGAAGAAATTCACAGTTTATTGTTGACGAATTCCACTTGTTTGGTATACCGCACGTAAAGATTAGGGTTATACGATGTTAGCGAGTGCGCGGGCGCGGAACGGAGTGACGTAGGTCCTCTCGTGTGATCAGTGGCTAACTGTCTGCGTTAGGCTAGTAAAAAACCACATTCGCAGATGCATCGTTCTCGTTGCGAACCTACCCACATTTAAAATAATAAATAAGTAACCACGATTAAGTGATAACGGAACATTCCGCCCACCAAAAATACGTTAAAGGTTTTTTTCGATATAAAATGGAACGATTTATACGAAAATTTACAATTATGATTTTATTACGAAAGGCATATGAATTATTTTATAAACTAAAACTATTTATAATTATTTAAGTTTGATAACTAGAGCGCATTAGTCAGATTGGTTAGGTAAAGGACATAGCTTTACCAAAGGTCTCGTAAGACAAGAGCCATCGATAGTTTTAACGGTAGCTATACGAACGATTCCATCAGGACTAGTATGTAACACCTCTACTCGGGCCAAAGGCCAATGCAATGGTAACGTATTATCGGTTTTAAGAATAACTACGGATCCCACTTGTAACGGTTTTGCGTGCTTAGTCCACTCAGCTCGTACAGTGAGAGACTGGAGGTACTCATGCTTCCAACGCTTCCAAAAGTCTTGTTGAAAACGTTGGAGCAATTGCCACCTACGTAAGCGACTGATATTTAAAACCGAGTAGTCTTCGACAGGAATCGCAATTAACGGTTCCATCGTAAGAAAGTGACCGGGCGTTAGTACACTTAAATCGTTCGGATCAGAGCTGAGTGGATAAAGTGGTCTCGAATTCAGCAGGGATTCTATTTGAACAAAAAGTGTGGTTAATTCTTCGAAAGTTAATGATTGCTCGCCTATGATACGATAGAGGTGAGATTTAATTTGGATTTCCCACACTCCGCCGAAGTGGGGACTCGAAGGAGGATTGAAACGAAATTCGATTTTCTCCCTATGAGCCGCATTCTGCATAAAACGCTGGAGGTGATTGCTTGCACCTACATAGTTGGTGCCGCAGTCGGAATGAATTATACTGACTCTGCCGCGACGACCAACGAAACGTCGAAGAGCTGCGATAAAACCATCAGATGAGAGATCGGAAACAGCTTCTAGATGAATAGCCTTGGTGGTGAGGCAAACGAAAAGACATAAATATGCTTTACCTAATTTAGCACCACGATGCTTTCCAAGTTTTATACGAAACGGACCGCCATAATCAGTACCGACAACTGAGAAAGGTTTGACTTGATTAATGCAGATTGCAGGCAAATCGCTCATATACGGTTCAAGAGGCACAGGTTTTGTTTTATAGCATGACACACATTTGGACAAGCAATGACGTATAGCTCTTTTGGCAGATATAATCCAAAATTGTTGGTTTAAATGATACTGCATTGTATTAACACCGGCGTGACAGTTTTCACGATGAAACGCTTCGATAATGAGATATGTGAATCTAGAATCACGCGGAATCAAAGCAGGATGCTTATGTTCAAACTCGAGACCAGATCTGGCTAAGCGACCGCCCACCCTGAGAACTCCAGAGGGGTCTAAAAACGGATTAAGTTTACGCATTTGTTTTGAAAGAATGTGTCCT